GAGGGTTAATAAGTGAAACTCTGTCTCAAAAAAACAACAACAACAACAACAACCAAAAACAAGACTAGCTACCAAATTAAGAATTTATTACCAGATTCAACACATAAGGAAATGAAAGGTTAAATGACTTGTGCAAAAAAATTAGATATGGATGGCTCGGCGCCGTAGCTCAGTAGGTAAGGTGCCAGTCACATACACTGAGGCTGGCAGGTATGAGCCTGCCCTACGCCTGTTAAACAACAGTGACAACTACAACAAAAAAACAGCAGGTGTTGTGGCAGCAGCCTGTGGTCCCAGCTACTTGGGAGGCTGAGGCAAGAGAATCACTTAAGCCCAAGAATTTGAGATTCCTGTAAGCTGTGATGCCACAGCTACTCAGGGTGACATAATGAGACTCCGTCTCAAAAAAAAAATCAGATCTGGAATTTAAAACCCAATCTAATTTCTAAGCCAATACTTTTAAGTGTCACTGGACTGCCTCCCATTTGAAAAGGAGTAAAAGAATTAGAAGAAAAAACATAGGTCTCCCTATTTGTGCCATATACATATTCTACAAACTGAAATTCTGACTAGATGACCTCTACAGGTGAAGTTATTTTTATCAGAAATTTGTATCCACAACTAATAAGTACCTTAGGAGAATATTGTAGTGTCTCAGCAATAATTATAGAAGATATGTTGTCATAATTTAAAACAAAAATCCACTTTTGAAACAAAATTCCACAATATCTCAAGAAATACCAAGAACTAAAGTAATCATGAAAGAGATTCACATGTGTAGGTGACTTGACAAATAACTTCTGCTGTGTCAATTAATTAATTAACTTTCAGAACCAAAGAGCATAATGAAGAACCTGAGTAATATCTATTTGCTTTCAAAGGGCTTAATTTAAAATAGATAAATATCAACTAGCTATAGTAGTGTGGACCTGTAGTCTCAGCTACTAAGGAGACTGAGGCAGGAGGATTGCTTGAGCCCAGGAGTTTGAAGTTGTTGTGAACTAGGGTGAGGACATGGTACTCTAGCTTGGGATAACAAAGTGAGACTCTGTATCAAAAAAAAAAAAATTAATTAATTAAAAAATAAATTTTTATAAAAAGAATTTAGTTAAAACTTAATAATTGACAAAAGTCCAAGTCTGAGCAGGTAGAAGAGAAGAACCTTCGGGGCTGCAGATACAAGGAGAATTTACAATAACTCACACACAGGCTCTACCACAAACCTCATCATGTACTCAGGAAAAAACAAAAATGAAAAGAAAAGATTAAGAAAAAACACTGGGATCATCAGTGGGGTCAGGGCTAGCCTAGACGCAGGACAGCAGCCCTGCTGGTCAGGCGCCAGGCCCAGCACAGACTCTTTCTTTCTATCTTTCTTGTGGAACAACAGCCTCAAAACGATAGAAGGGTAAAGAAACCCTGCTAGCCTTGGGACATGGATAAAACCAAAAAAGGCTGGTGGAAGAGAACAGACAGGAAAAACTCCTCTACAGAGGGAGAGGCAAGAATACATCCTGGGCACAGATTCAGAGCTGAAGCAAGAAAGGTCAGAGAAGGCTTCACCCCCAAGATCCGCCCTAAGACTGGATCAGAACAAAAAGACACTTCCTTGCACCAGCTAGCTAAGCCAGAATTCAGAAAAAGTATCAGAGAACCACCGTGGGGAGGAACACCCTGAGGTGCTGTCTGAGAAAGCTGAGCATGGAGTACATGTTGAGGAAACTATCTCTAGCCAAATTATCTTCCATACTAAAGTAACAAATGCTACAGGAACCTGAAGTGTGTGAGAGAAAGTATGCCAGAAAAACCCAGATCCAGTACCACTCCTGACTGGACCAACTCACCCGGAACACTCAAGGCCTGGCAAAAAGAAAAGTATATCCATTTCCAGGTATCAATACAATTGCCTCAGTTTCTATTTTCTATCATCCTAGATAAGTTGCTCAACTTTCAACAAAATCTGAGGAAGCAAAAAGGCAGGTACAAGCACAATGTCAAGAGACAAGGTAGGCTCGGCGCCTATAGCTCAACCGGCTAAGGCGCCAGCCACGTATACCTAAGGTGGCGGGTTCGAATCCCCAGCCCGGACCCGCCAAACAACAATG